GAGTATAGACAAGCTCGAGAAACGTGAGTTATAGCGTTTGTTATAGAGCGACTGTTGAAATTAAGTGTATCGTAAAGTTGTATTCGGAAAGAATAAACCAGTTTTATTTAAGAAAGGACTTGTGTCGCTAAAGTTTCATCGGAAAGAAATTATACGGGAAGTTAAGTAATGACCGGAGCCGTAACAGTATGTTTCAGTGCAAATAGTTTAAAAAGCTGGAAAATGAACAACTTTGTGTATGAAAACTTCAAGTTTCAGTAATCAAACAAATTAACTAACGACTGAAGGCGTAACATTATTATCAACGTCGTTACTATTCAGTAATTATACAACTTAAAACAACAACTATTTATGATATAAAAACAAGTCAGTAATTTGACAGTAATTTTGTGCTTTAGTAAATATAATTTTTAAATCTCTGATTGCCCAAACATTATTTCCTGAAACTACAATGCATATGACTACAAAAAATCAACATGAAGAGATAGAATTCATACACCTTCTTTGGCTATTTTAGCCAACACTAAAATATCTAAATAATTTTTTAAACTATTTTATTTTCATAAAATTAAATGCTTGGAAACACTCAATACTTTCTTCACAAAATAAGTGTATAACTCACCATCTGCATGTAATCATTGCTGACAAAATGATCATTTAGTTCAGAACAAACCAGTTTAAAAGTTCGGTTTAGATAGTAGGCTGGCTTGCGATTAAGATATAAGATTTGTCTTAGAATCAGCACGTAACTGTGAATTTTATCTGCTCCTGTAACATAATAATAAACATAAATAAGGTAACGTTTTACCTGCCTCAATAGAACAAACCTAAATCAAGTAAAATTCAGCTGCACTTATACATATTACAATTTGAAAATAAATCAGGTGTATTTCATCTACTCTCTATTCACGATATGAACATTAATTAGGTGATTTTTTCTGCCACTATTGTTATCATAATACATTAATCAGGTTTAATTTGTCAATGTAAATATCATAACTTGGATAATCATCACTGAAAGACTGACTGCCTCTATACATTTCAAAATTTGAAGGTTAATAATATAATTTTGTCTGCACATGCGTCACAATATGAGTATATTCAGGTAAAATTTGACAATTTCTGTAAATCTTAAAATATGACTGTTAATCAAGTAACTGTCTGCCCTTGTGAACATCACTACTTTAATAGTGATGAAACGAATAAAAACCCTATAACCCGAGTATTTTTTGTTTACATTTTTTGTGTAACTTGAATGTTATTTGGGACCCTGTAACTAACAAAGTCATAGTACAAGCAATTTGTTACCTAATTAATTTAAGAAACATGTGTCTGAAAAGACAGTAAATTAATCAAGTAATTTTATCAGGCCATATAATTATTACAAAATATATATTAATCAGGGAATCTATGACTGGCTCTAAGCTTCAAAAAAGATCTGTTATTCATCCCTTGTAAACATAAACATTAATTAAAAAAAAACTCATGTTAATTATAATAAAAAATTAACTGTTTTAAAAACAGTTTTGAAGCAATGAAATTATTAAATTAAAATGTTTACTATAAGTATGTGTGTATGTATATATATATACACAGAATAAATGCAAAAAATTAAACAATTATCGGGATATTTAAAATCCCAATGATATACATTTCAAAATTACACATGCTACAATTAAAAGAATATCATGCTGTTATAAAATTAAAATGTATAGTGATAAACTACAGCTGGCTAAAGGAACAAAAATAACATAAATGACTTAACTTTTAACACTCCATTTTTTCAGTAATGCTTAATTTCTCAAATATTCTTGCTCACCATAAATAATCTGTACTTCTTTGTTACATCTGTGGCACACTTCAAGTGAAAATATTCATGGTCTGGATTTAGAGGTGGATAAACATCTACGGAACACTTGTGTAACCTGTGGTCTAGAGTAATCATATCAGAGGCTCTGGTTGACTGTGATGGATATCGTGTTGAAAAGTTCAGTGCATTGCTTAAAGGCCTCATAATCTGATTGAAGAAGCTACTTGAGAGGAGTTATGAGAAAAACATATATATAAATCCAAACATTCTGCAGTGAATATAGTAACAGAACTGATAAAGCAAGCTGACAGAATAAGCACAATGGCTTCCAGTGTTTTCACTTTGGTAAGGTTGGCCACATAGCAAAGAACTGTTTTCAGAAACAGAATAGAAATGAGCAGATAGCATGTTTTAATTGTGGTATTAAAGGCCACATAGCCCGAGATTGTAGATGCTCACCGAAGGCAAAAGCAGAAAATCCTCTAAGGCTGAGACTTTATGAAGGAAGTTCCCTAGAAATAACAGTAGTTCTACATTTGCTATAGATTTAAAATAAAGGTATTCCCTGCCGTGATTACCGAGCAAAAGTAGCGGTAGTTCCGGCAGTATAGAACAAAAGATTGTCCATAATGTTACCATATTGTTTTAGTAGAAATAGAAAGTATAGCATGTCGGTTATTGGTTGACACAGGTGCTCAATCTTCACTGCTAAGTGCAGAATTAGTGGATAAATATCCAACATTGCTGAATAATGCTTGAAAGGAAGTTGCTAAAAGGGTTTTAACTTCCATAACAGAACATCCTGTTAAGACGCTAGGCAAGTATAGTGCTGACATGAAAATAGGAGACTTAGAGATAGAACACTCATTTTACATCTGTAAATAGATAGACGAAGAAGCAAATGGTATTATAGGGCAGGATTTCTTAAGGGTTTATGACACTGAAATATCTCTTGCCAGAGGTAAACTGCACATAGAAACAGAAATCTTAAGTCTTGAAGGGCTCATACCTTCAGACTTATGTGCAAAAGTTGAAACAAATGATACCTTCCCACTAACTAAAGCTAATAGTCAGATGCCTAATACTAGCATTAGTGAGGCTAAGGATTAAAAGTCAACATACGAAAGCATGGTAAGAATATCAAGTGTTCAAAGAGAAATCCAGTGAGTAGAATAAACAGAAAGGCCGTAAGCCTAGCAGAAGTATTAGTTGTAGTAGTAGTAAGAAAAAAAGAATACAGTAAGTGTAACTGGAATTAAGCAGAATAAGATACACTACACTTGTGCTTAACGTAAGCAACAGAGCATCTCAACAGGACTGTTTGAGTGAAAGAGTACCTGTAAGATTAGTTAAGGTAACCAAAGTGCCTACGAGAAGTAAATTTATTGTTGAAGCTAAAGTAGATGACTTTAAGTGTAATGAAGAAGTGTTAGTTGAACCTACTGAGATACAAGAAGCAGAAGGATATTTAGCTGCTTGTATTAGTAAAGTGTCTGAGAGAGGCACAGTGCCTATAAAAGTGTTGAATATAAATGAAGAAAAAGTAATACTACCTAAGCATACACTGAGTGGTCACAAGTAAATAGACACCACTTTTTCAGAAAAAAATGAAATTTTTCAGTCATATTCACATGAATTGATATATTTAT